AAATACATAATTCTAAAAAATACAAAATACAAGGTTTTGGGGCAGAATGAAAGGTACAATCTAAATTGTAACACTAGCCCTGATGATGGTAAGTGTGTAACCGAAACTAAACGACTGCAATCAATAATACTTACTTTACCTTTGTTTTTATTTTTTATTCTTAAACAATTTTTATTTCTGCTAACGTTTCGCCATTGCGCCTGTATCAGGGCTCGTAGTACAAGAACAGTTCTTGTACTGCTGCTAGCCCTGATGAATCCGCAGTGGCAGAAATTATTATTTTTTTATTATATGGAGAGTGAAGATGGTTTTTTCTAACTTTATATTTTATAAGTTGGAATCTAGATTTGATTAAAGAAGATCTAGTTAGCATACTAATTCAGAGGGCTTATGAAATAGCTGACATCTATGAATGTTTCCATAAGAAATTAAAACATATTAATGTTTCTAAAGTGGAACAAAATCCAAATATTACGATAAACAAAATTATACGTAATTATTTAGATAAAGTCAACAATTTCAAATAAAATAACGTTCACTGTTCCAAATAAAGCAATAAATATAATATCAGCACATACAGGAAAACATCTACTCTTAAGTGTAAAAAATCGAGTATGTATGCTTTTTCTTAGAATCTCTACACAAATTAATTAGTAGTTTTTAAACCTCAAACTATCGGGTATAAAGACGAAATTTCATATAGTAGGCACAATACCGTGTAATCTAAAATAAAGTTTCAACATTTTCACATGTTCCAACATACATGTATTATTATTCACTAGCTGAATTACGGTTTCCTGTCGGTTATTCAGCATTGTTGTCTTGTATTTACGTGATGCTTCACTTTATCTATGTATTTGTCAAACCTTGTTGCCTCAAGCAGTCCAAAACCCCCTCTTGGAACACACTAGTTGCGCTCTTTGCCGTATCTGAAGGAATTGGATTCAACAGTAAAACTCTTAACATGAAAAGATTTAACTTTTCACTGGATAGAAATCGCTTTGTATATGGTGCCTTGTGGGAAAGGTTTGGTTTGTTTTGAATTTCAACATATCTGTTAATAAAGTACTACATGTATTTGAGGATTGCCGGAACCAAAGGAGTAGTGTAAAATGTATTATCTCTGTTAGAGTAACAGGATATATCGCCATGTCTGTGTTGGTTCGCATTGTAAACGGTTTGGCATTTCCATAATGTCACGAGGAAAAAATGAATTACGTGTGTATTTGTATAACATGAATTGGTATGTGGAATACCTTTTTGTTTAGAAATGTCAAAGTGTGACGCTGCTTGTGTTCAAAGGTCGACTAATACAACCACATACCTGCCAGTGTCAGTATCACACACACATCTCATTCTTTGTCGATTTCTTTAACTATCTGCTGAATCTCTCACTTACAGAAAATAACAATAATAATAATAAAAAAAACCACTACTAAACTTCGTTTGCATTTCGCTTAAATAAATCGCATAAAATCCTATGAATGGACTAACTGGCAATGTGCCCTGAAAATAAGAGTATATTTCTGAGATCTCAGCAATGATATAGTGGATATGCCGAGAAGGGGAAAGCAAATAAAGCCCTGCAGTTTGAAGATTTCCCGCTGCTTTCAGTGTGTGCAAGACTTCATTCATCGATCTTCTTCCGCAGAAATAGCTGTTAGAGAAGCTTGATCTACGTTCTGTTCTCCACTCGTTTAATTTATTTTATAAAGCAGAATGTGTCGAAGATCCAGTTTACGACACAAGCTTTATATTAAATCACGACACTCTGAGGTAGATGCTGGACCGAAGCGAAACACCTTTAGACTTGATTAATATATTTCTTTGTCACGTGTTTCCAGCTTCGCGTAAACGAGATGTAAATGAAACTAGACAGATAGACATGGAACAAACATGTTGACAAAACACATGAACATAAAGTACAGAGCTACAACTATTAACAGTTTAACTTTCAGTTAAGGTTAAACTGCTTCTTAATTTTTAAACCAGTGTGAACCTGACATGACTAGAGAAACGAATTACGTTTAGACAAGAAACTAGAAATTTTTAAAGTCGAGTACTGGCTTTATTTGTTTGTTTTTTTGGAATTTCGCGCAAAGCTACACGAGGGCTATCTGCGCTAGCCGTCCCTAATTTAGCAG